TATATACACATATACATATACATATACTCAGATATAGTAAGCAAACACACTGTGTCTATGCATATATACACACAGACCATATGTTTATTTGTGTACCTGGGATTTCGATGCAAGAACAGCTATGCAGCGTGGTGGCAGCACACCACTGCTAGGAGCCAGGGGGTCGCTGGTGGAGCAGAGCCCACAGCCCGGCAGCGCGGCGAATGGGACGATTAGCAGCATCGGCACAATCCGCAGGATGGGAAGGCAACAGAAGTTCACACACAGCCCTGGCTCCAGGCCAGGAGGTTCTCTGTTGTGCCCTGCACCAAACATGGGTGCTGGCCCCTGGAGCCAGCCTTGAATGGGAACTGTCAGAGGGACAGCCACTTCCGCCACCAGTCACTTCCCCACATCCAATGCAGCTGAATAGGTACGAGCGAGTTCATGTGTATGTAAGCCCAGTATGCGCCCATACATTTTTTACAGTAGCGTACGTATTTTTGCATGTGGATCTACAGGATCACAGAATTATGGAAGGGTTTGGGTTGGAAGGGTCCTTTATAAGGTCACCTAGTCCAACCCCCCTGCAATGAGCCTGTTTGCGGCTTTCTGAGTAGCTGGTGTGCAAAGTGCTGGCAACTGTACTGCCCAGAACAGGGTGGTTTTACTGCCAAAACAAAAACTGGAGTTGTCTGACACAGTGGGAAAAGGCCAAACAGCACTGAGGTTGCCTTCCTTTTGTAGAAAGAGTGGAAAGGCAAATGCAAACACAAGGCTTGCCTGTAATGTGGAAAACACAGTGTGATGTTCACAGAGAATTTACATAGTGACCGATTTATATACTACCTGTTTGTCTGACACTATCATGTCCTGGTTTAGGCTGGGACAGAGTTAACTTTCTTCATATCACCATTTCCGTTCATAGATAGATGGAAAATAGATTTTGCCCACATTTTAATCTCTTTTGTTATCAGAAAAGCTTTGAGGAAGTAACTAGGAGATATTCTTGCAAAATAAATGATTACAGCAAAAGTAGGGTCTTAGTTCCCTCAGAAGATGACCTGATCTTACCTAAACACAGCTGTGTAGAAACCAACCATCGAGTCAACACAGAGGCCTGAGAGTGTTGGGACAGATTATGTGCTGGTTTTCACTGAGATAGAGTCAATTTTTTCTGGTTGAGCTAGTATGAGATGATGTTTTGGATTTGTGCTGACAACAGTGTTGACAGCACAGGGATGTTTTAGTCACTGCTGAGCAGTGCTCACACAGAGTCCAGGCCTTTCCTTTTTCTGCTTCTCCCACCCCCCCCCCAGCCAGCGGGCTGGGGGTGCACAAGCAGCTGGGAGGGGACACAGCTGGGACAGCTGACTCCAGCTGACCAAAGGGATATTCCATACCATATGATGTCATGCCCAGCCTATAAAACTGGGGGAAGAAGAGGGAAGGGGGGACATTGGGAGTAACGGATTTGTCTTCCCAAGTAACTGTTACGTGTGATGGAGCCCTGCTTTCCTGGAGATGGCTGAACACCTGCCTGCTCATGGGAAGCAGTAAATTAATTCTTTGTTTTGCCTTGCTTGTGCGTGTGGCTTTTGCTTCACCTACTAAACTGTCCTTATCTCCACCCACAAGTTTTCTCACTTTTACCCGATTCTCTCCCCCATCCCACTGGGAACAGTGAGCGAGTGGCTGTATGGGGCTTCTTGACAGCTGGAATTAAGCCATGACATTGCTGAATTTATTACTGAAATTAGTTGCTGCACGAGCTTCCTGTATCCCTCCCTAAACAGAGCATTGCACTGTGTATTTATGCCACATATTTTAAAGATTTCACTGATGCATCAGGGAATACAGTTGGCCTCAGGGAGGGCAGGGGCATGGTGGGGAGGCATCTTGGTATCAGTTATGCCAGGCTGATTGCATCTCTCTGACATTGGGGGTGGGCTTTCAGCAGCAGTCCCAGTAGCTCCTGAAAAACATTCACTTTTAATCTGGATGTGCCAAATCCAGAACTTGTGTGTCTCAGCCACCAGAGAAATAGTTTTCTCTAATGATTTTACTCTCACCTCAGTTGTGTGTTTGATCCTCAATAGACAGTTACTGTGTCACCTGCTGTGTATGCTTGGTGGCAGAGAAAAACAGAGGAATTTGCACCCTCTCAAAGGGAGTTTCTCCTGCTCTGTTGCAAAACTTCTTTTTTTCTGGTACACAGTGTGCCCTACAGACTGCGAACAAAACAAATCACACCTCTCTGCCTGTACAGAGCAGTCACATCTTGAGTAGAAAAGGAGACAGGGCTGAGGCAGCTGTACAGTGGGGTTGAGACTCAGTGTCAGTGGAGATTGGTGCCTGCCTGGTATTAAAAACCAAAAGTCTGTTGGTTTGATATTACTTTATGCGCTGTGACAGCCATTTCCAGTGGCTCTCCACTGGCAGACAGGTATTTATGAGTGTATCCCATCTGGGCAAACTTTCTGCCACTGGGACGTGCAGTGAACAGCTGCGTGGTGCTCATTGCTGGGTGGGGTCAAATCACGATGGATTACCTGTCCCAAAATAGACATTTGAATCATTTGCTGGTGCAGCGCCTCTTCTCATGCTAGAAGGAGACCTCAGAAAGAGGCCAGGTGAGCCACTTCTTGCCATAGAGGACAAAAAGTCACCAGGGGAGACTCATACAGCTGGGGAGAGCTGCAAGGCTGGGAGAGCCACCTCCAGCAAGTGATGGTTGGTCTCCATAAACAAGTCTCAGACATCAGGGAGACCAGACTGGCTGGAGAGCGGGAACTGGGGCACTGGTGAAGCATCTCCTCTTCTAAACCGGGTAACAGTGGTGGCAGCATGAGCCTTTGCTGATACCAGCAATACAGAAGAGCTCTGTAACTCCAGGTCACAGGGATTACCCCTCTCCTCCTGAGGTGCTGCCATCCCTTGGTGGGTTTACCCCATGGGGCAGACAAGTGATGGGTCACTACCAAGAATGTATGGCTGCTGATGAGCTATGGAGAGAGAGCGTGGCAGAGAACCATGGTGTGAAACAGGGTTTGGAGCATGTTATGGTCATTGGAGAAAGAGAGAAGGGAAGGAACATAAGTGCTGTGCCTGAGAATAAGGTGTCTCAGCAGCTATAGGTTAAGAGGTTAGACTGTATTTTTTGAATTACCTGTTCTAACCAGTAAGAACATTTATTAGCTACTCATCATGCAGTAAATACATTTATTACTAATCTTTCACATCTAAAGTTCCTGTAGAAGATAAATAAGAAAAAAAAGGGGGTGTGCCATTTTGGCAGCGTGAATGGTCGGGTGCAGAGGAGAGCAGTCATGCACAAGCACCTCTCCCCCATCAGGCAGCAGCAAAACCCACCAGCCTTGGTGTAATACAAAGGCAGGCAGCTTTCTGCACCTGCTTTCGCATACAGCTTTGCAAACCCTTTTCTCACATAGTGAGGAGTCTCTGTCCCTCCCAAAGGAGTTGTAAAATACAGCTTTATCCATCCTGCATGCGGCAATCAGAATGGCTTAAGAGCTTAAGCATTCATAGGGTAGCAAAGTTTAAAAAGATTGCGCCAGTCTGTTTGCCTACTGCGTTCCACTTCTCTAATCAAACTGCTCCTTGGTATGGTCTTGTAGAGGCATGTTGTCAGTGATGGAGGCAGAAAATTTAACTTGCTAATAGAGAGGGAGTTGTTAAACTCTGGTCCTTGCGAGGCCGTGCCCAGGGCAATGAGCAGCTTGCACAGAGAGCCCAGTGCTGCTCGCCTTGCTCCACTCACCGGCCAGCTGCCGAGCCGTGGCACATTACGATCATGCACCAGGCAAAGAAGATGGGAGCAAATAGATTTCGTCCTTTTAGACTGTTTTATTAAACAAAGCCAAGCAAAACAAAAACCAGCCCCACTGTCAATACATCAGCTTCTCATTTACAGAAGACCCTTTTCCACAGCTCTCAGAGAACAAAAAGACTGAACTGTAAATGAGATCAGTGTCGGGAGCATTACACACATGAATATTTATCAAGGAAGACCAGACAGAGACCAATTTGCTACCCTCCTGCAGCAGCAGTAGCTCAGTCATCAACAAGTGTGAGGGAAAGGGTAGGTGAAAGGGCTGGCCCATGCCTTTGCACGGGCAGGGGCATGCGGGATGCTGGCAAAAGGTTTTGCCTCTGTGTGAGTATAACTGCGGGAGCCATCGGTCAGGAATGATGCTGAGAGGCTCCTGAGTTTTGGGGCAAAAGCTAAGTACAACACAGTTATGAAGCAAGCATTCATTGTCCCATACAGTCATGCAATCAGCTTACAAGCTTCAGTTTAGGGGAAAAAACCTCTAAAGAATTAACTGGAAGTTGTTACCCTTCCTCGGGTGTGCTGAGGGCTCATGATAAATCTTTTTACTGAAGGAAAAAGCAAGGTTAAATCAAACTACAAAGCCCATCAAGCATGAGATTTACAGCAATCTAAAAGGGTTACGGGTTCATTTCTTAAACAGTTGAATTATGTCTGCTTCTGGGTATCAATATATTAAGCACAGTGACCCCCTCAGTGCTGCAGGGAGCTAGGGGATGAGCAGCAATGGAGAGATAGCGCTGGTTATTGTTTTTATGTGTATTTCAAAGTCACTTCCAAAAAAGAAGATGAGATAATAGTTGAGTATTCCAGCCATGGACATAAGGAACAGGAATAAAATGATGCGCTTTCCAAACAAGTAACCAGGAGTGCTGAGGAGACAGAAAGGGGGGAAAGCAATTCATTAATGTACGTCACCTCACGGGAGAGGTCCTCAGGCTTCAGACTCTGCTGTTGAAACCAGCTGAAAGACTTCAGGGGCTGAGATGAAGTGGGGAAAATTTCTGCTCTGTCTTGCATTGCAAGGCAGCTACAAGCTCTTAAATGCTGTTTTCAGGATCCATTTGGGTCTGGATTTGGCCTCCTGTGCTCAGCATAGGCTGCTGCTGCTTACAAAAGTGGCTATTCATACGGACTTGTATGTCTTCTCAGCCATCACAGGCTGTGGGATAACCTTGTTCCATATGCATGTGATGAGCTTTATTAATATAAAGGTATGATCCTGTGCAAAGAGTGGCACAAACACACAAATGTATGCATTTGCAGCGGCTGTGAGCAGGAATTGCTGAAGCAGCC